TGCAAAACAAAAATCAAAACTAAAATTAACTAAGATAAAATTCACTGCCACAACATTCAAAATATAAAAGAAATCAAAATTTAATCACAAACATCACAAAACAACAATTGCAACTAAATTAAGACATCTCTATTGGATGATCGGGAATATTTCAGACGAGGTAACCTACGGTTGCTAACGAGGCTTCCCACTATCTAAATGGAAGTACGGAACTCATTAAGTTAAGTTTAATAAATTCATTAGGACTAAGTGAATCCAATATAAAATAGTGGTACTGGAATGAGAGAACCATAGGATCATAACTAGTGTCGCTCTAATCAACTTTAACATGCCCCATAACATTTATAGAGCTTTAACCAAAGGGCCATCTTATTTGACATCATAACCTGACACTAGAAAACTTAAAGTCATCACGGTAAGGAGCTTAGAGCTAGCACGGTGGGCAGCACAACCATCTTCAACAGCAAAACATGTTTACATCAGCTAAACCAATTTCCTTCCTTATATTTTAACAATCAAGCCATAGGACTTCGTGGTAGTTTGCTTATGCAACGTAAACCCTCACCTTATTTTCAAGCCTTTCTATAGCTCTGATGTACAATATAAGCCCTAACTAGTCCTAGGATTTTGATGTTGTCATTTGTCACGACCTAAATCCTCATATCTTCCAGGATATTTGTGTGATCGTTTCACAAAAATGTAAGCCCTAACAAATAATAAGCCCTAACCAAAAATGTAAGCCCTAACAAATAAAAATGGCAGGATGAAACATCTAAATAATTTCTCCTCAAAATTGAAGCCAAACAATAGGATAGACTGGGAAGTCACCGAGGTTCTCCTCCGGATCTATGGAATCCCCTAGTTCTTCCTCCTCTAGATTCTACAATAAAATGTTCCAAATTTGAGTTATTCTCATTTCACACCTCTTTGTCTGATTTCATTGAAAAGTTTTATCCTTTTGAACTCCATGAAGATAATACTCCCTGATTTTTATCGAGGGTTTTCTTAGGTAACTTCGGTTATCTAAGATGTAATTAACTATAGGGGCTTGCCCTTATAAGAAGCTTGTCCGAACCCAACATAAATTAAACCCTATTTAATCTTTCATATTAAATAGGAGAAATTGTCAGCAAATAAAACAGTTTCGCAAACAAAACGGATGTCATTTATTTCTTAATTTATTTGATCGAGCCTCATTCTCAAGTCTTGTGTTTATCTTTCGGGATATATATAGGGTTTAAGGTATAGTGCTCTTTCATTTAAACTGTGAAAAATATGGAGTCAGTTTGATTTCATATTTTTCTAAAACTTATATATATATGTAAATTAAATGTCCTTCTGAATCGGACGACGGGATTTCGATTCCAGCGGCCGATAGCTTTCAATGGGCAACTCCTCAACTTTTTACTGCCGACATACCTACATTGTTTGTAAACCATAATGATAAATGACTAGTTGCCCTACTCATTGGTTTATTAAAATGTAAATATTTGTTGAGCATAGGTTAACACATTTCAACTAAAATTTAACTTAGTTGGATTGATTGATTTAACAATCTAGTGAAACCAAGAATGAACTTGAAATTATTCGAGAGATTATAAGGTAGTGTGGGGTTACCCTTTAGACTCTGTTACAAGATTTTGGTTATTTCAGAGCACACTTGGGATTACTGTGATTTAATCAAGAAAATCATTAGCAAAGTATGACCACCACCAAATTCAAATTAAATGAATGTGAAATTCTTAAGGACCTGCTAAGATGTAACTCGGGACCTATTAAATCACCTAAATCAATAGAAATGCATTCACTACTTATCCTACATTAATAACCTAATACTCATGGACTTAAGTTTTCTCTGAGGTATTTAAGTCCTTGTGAGAAATTGAGGATATTTGGTTTTTGCCACATATGGATCATCAGACTGGTGTAAGTCTAAGGTCTAGGTAGCTCGGGCAATGATGTCATTGCTTATGTGTGCGTAAATGAATGATACAAATTAGGATTATTAGAATATTATCTTCTTCCTCAATGAACTTCAATGAGGGGAGAGGACAATGACCGATGATACTATTCACCAACTCTCAGTTGGATTGTTGCCCTCAATACTCTTAGGTTGCAAGTAACTTAGATCGAAATTTAAAACAACAAATTTTGCATGAAAAATTAATGAATTTTGATAAAATCTTACAAAAAACACGATTAGTAACGTAGATCGAAGCTAAGGACTGCCCTCTTTAGATTGTCAGGTTGGTAGCTCTTACTCAAGGTTGGGAAGCACGCAGTCCAACTCTGAGCCCCCACCTTCATCGATGTCTTACACTTAGTCCTGGTCTTCCATATGTGACTACGAGTTTTACTTCACATGTTTATATTTTTGCTACGACTTGTTTCATTATTGTGTACTAGCCTTCTCCTGCTTTATTTTTTTGCAATTTTTTTTTAAATTTCATGCAAATATAAAATATTTTAAGATATTAACCATGCAGAAGTTACAAAGGCCCAGACTATGCAGCTGCAGTAGGATCGCCAGGTATGTGTCTCATAATTTATTTATTGCACTTTTACTACTTTAACTTACAACAATTTCTTTTCCATGCATGTGTCACTTTACATGCTGAACAAAATAATAAAAATACATTTTCAAAAATAATAATACATCTTTAAACCTTTTAACACACTTAATCTACTCCTTTTAAGTTTATGAGGATTTCTCGGATGAGATAACCCACAGTTGCTAATGAGAATTCTCTAGTCTAAACGAGCTTGACAACTCCTTTAGACTAAGTAAATTCAAAATAAAATAGTGTTGTCAAAATGAGGGAACCGTGAGATTATAACTAGTGCGGCACTAATTAAATTAAAACTCCCCTAAACATGACATTTGAACAATAATAAAAAAACTAAACTTTGACACCAAAACTGTGAAACATAAAACCTCAAGCCAAAACCTTTTAAACTTTTTGAACCTTAAAACTGCTACTTCAACAAGGAGCTTTGAGCTAACGTCGTGGGTAGCACGACAATGACATATAGAAGAACATCTTTGAGAAAGCGAACAGATCGACATCACCAATCTTTTCCTTCGAATTAAACAATAACAAGCCATAGGACTTCTAGGTAGTTAATCTAACACGACGTAAATCCTCACCTCATCTTTAGACTTTTGCACAATTATGTTGTGCAATATAAGTCCTAACTTATTTTAGATTCTGAGGTTATCATTTGGCACGACAAAAACCCTCACATATTTCTAGGCTATTTGCATGATCAGGATCATGTGAATGTAAGCCCTACACAAAAAAATTGGCAGGATAAAACATTTAATAATATATCTTCAAAATTGAAGCGAAGCCACATGATAGTTTAAGAAGTCATCAAGGTTTTCCTCGGGATCTATGACATATCTTACATTTTTTCTTTTGAATTCCGAAAATAACTGTTCTCATTTTGAACCACTCCCATTTGGCTCTTCCATGTATGACCTTGAAAACCCTAAACTTTGAAAATCTTGAAGGCAAGCATCTCTGATCTAAATCGAGAGTTTTCTTAGATGATTTTGGTTGTCTAAGTAGTAATTAACTATAAGGGTTTGCTCTTATAGAAAACTTTAGAACCCATGTAATATAAACCCTATCTAATCTTTTATATTAGATAGAGGAACTTGTTGGTCAACATCCATAAGCCAAACTGATGTCATAAATTCTTTAGTTTATTTAATCGAGCATCACTATTTAATAATGTGTCTATTCATTGGGATAGGTGCGACGCTCACAGTGTTATGCCCGATCATTTAAACTATTAAAAATATGAGATCGGTTCGGTCTCGTATTTTCTAAATTAAAATGCAACTTTTCAAAATTATATATATGTATGTTAAATTAAATGAGATTCATAAAGCGACCAACAGTGTGTTTTGGCTCATAGTAAAAAACTTTTACTTTAACTCACCCATAGTCTAGCTTGGTCTCATCCCAAGGGCTACTAGCATTTTAGACTTGTCAATGGGTTTCACGTTGAAGGGTACCTCTTTTCCATAATCAAATCAAAGATAATAAGCAAAAGAATAGAAGTGGAATAGCTTTGAGATAATAAATCCTCGCCTTGCTACCTATATAGAAGGGTCGAAGGCATGGAAACCAAAAAGTATTTATTACATTAAATCATGACCATATGTTAAGATTTAGTTTATTGCACTTCAAAAAGTTTCTTGTCATTATCCCAAAAAGTATTTATTACATTAAATCATGACCATATTTTAAGATTTTGCACTTCAAAAAATTTCTTAACATTATTGCACCTATAGCTATCTAGTAGCAAGAAATTCCATGAAGTTAATATGTGCACCCAAATAATAGTTTGCACAGATCTTGAGGCAATCTGACGGTCCAGATCAAAACTTTGATTTACACCTAAAATACGAAAGATGACCTTATATTCTTAATAGATAATTGTCAACTGAAATTTGTACTATTGGTTAGATTTATGAAGATGAGGTGCAAGCTATTTTTTTTATTATGAAGTTGCTTGAATTCAACTAATTTTAGCATATAAAATATCAATGATTGACAGTACAAAAATTTATTTGCTGTTGTGTATTTTTTATTATTATAAAATGAGTAAAAGAAATAGCAAGCGTGGTGCTGAAAAATATTTCGAAAAGATCTTTAAACTAAAATAAGAACTTTATATTTATATTTCATCAAATTTTAGTTTAAATCTTAGGGCTAAGATAATAGATCAGAACACAGGTAATGAGTTTTAATTATTTAAATAACTATGTGGGCCTTAAGAAAATAATAGAATCTAATCAATATTTGTTATATTTTTGAAGTATAATATAAATATCAGGCATTACAAATTTATTACAAATTAAATTTTATATTTTAGAAATATTGAGAAATATGCTTATGAAAAAATTAAACTCCTATAAAATTATAATTAATATAAAAACAAACTCCATTCAACCCAAAATATATTTACCAGTTTTTAAATAGGCGCTGACATATTATTTCATATTTATTTTAGCAAAACATCACCCTAAACATACAATTTTCCCATCTAATTGTGAGCTAGTGTCTTCCAATTGTTGACCATCTGGGCAAGTGTCTTGGTCGAAGACCCTTCTTTTTTTACCGCGTTTTGAGCTGCCACTTTCAAGTCATGCATTCTTCGACGGACATCCTTTCCTCTTTCTCCTTCCATCAAATCCTTCACCACATCCGCAATATCATCCTTCCTCACCACGTCATCATTTTTCATCCTCGCGGGACGCAACGCCACCTTCGCCCCCTCCACAAGCATCACTGCATTCATGGCTTGCTCCGCGTAGAGTGGCCATGCAATCATTGGCACACCATTCACAATGCTTTCTAGAGTTGAGTTCCATCCGCAATGGGAAAGAAATCCTCCCGTGGCATGATGGGAGAGTATTTTTGGTTGTGGACCCCATGAAGCCACTACCTTCCCCTTTTCTTTCGTTTTTTCAAGAAATCCTTGCGGCAAGAACCCCAGCAAGTTGTTCCTTCCCTGATGATCGCTGAAGTATGCCGCGCTTCTATCAGCGTCCACCGGCATTCTAACGACCCATAAAAATCTCTGGCCACTCATTTCAAGTCCCAAGGCCATCTCCTTTGTCTGCTCAAAAGAAAGCGTGCCACCGCTACCAAATGCAATGAACAACACAGACTGAACCGGTTGTTGGTCAAGCCACTGCAAGCAGGAATTTAACTCAGCCAGGCCCTTTTCTGTCCCGCCAACACAAGTAAGCGGCCCAATCGGCAGGACAGGAGACTTTCCATTTCTCCTTTCTTTAAGAAATATGACGGCACCGCCTTCCATGGCTTCAAAACTATTGACCATTATTCCATCCACTTTATCATGATGCTTTGAGTGATGAATCATCCAAGCAAAGACATCACTTTTTTTATCAATGGCTGATTGAGGAAAATCATTGTGGTAAAGCGGCGTGCAACCAGGCAGAGCAAGCAACGAGTCAGGGTTGTTGTCATGTTGCTCATGGCAAAGAGTGGGAAGGTTAAGCAAAAAGGACAGATAGAAGAAGTTGGTTGTGAAGAAAATGTAACTAGGAGCGCCGAGCTCACGTGCCAAGCAAATAGTGTCCCCACCGAAGAGGTCTATGATGTAAGCGGCAATGCGTTTGTTCTTAATTTGGAGGTCGAGCAAAATTTGTCGCAGGAAGGGGATTGAACGAGAAATCATAATTGAGAGGCGTGAAATGATGTGGGTGTTGGTGGGGAGGTCGTCGAGAGAAATAGGCGGAAGGCAAACAGTAGATACTCCTATAGGAAGGGAGGAGAACATAGATTGTTGGATATCTGAAGAGCGATCAAAGAAGGTGATGATGGTGGCAGTTAGGTTGTGATCTAGAGCAAGACGCTTGGCAAGTTCAACAATCGGTGAGAGGTGGCCTATCCCTGGGCTTGAGAGAAGGACGACGTGGGCCTTTGAGCATGTTACAGACATTGTAGCTTCTTTTTTCACTACGAAACTAATTCTAGGATTTATGTTCTCTCGGAGAGCTGAGGAGTTGTGAGAAGCTTATGTGGTATATATAGGCATTCAAGAAATCTATTTATTGGCTAACAAAACACGGGAAAATCCACAGTCAGCTTTGAACTTGTTGCCGTATGACTGCATATGATTATATTGGATCCAACTGTCATCCAGAATGTTTATTTTAATCGCGCTTGATCCGAGTTGGAAGCTAAGCGAGATTTTGAACCACTTCCTATTTCTTTCTTTTTTTATGTTATGTTATCGTATTTATACTTTGATATGAAACAAAATTAGGTTTTGTAAGCTAGTCTATTTTTCATCACTAATACCGCACAAAAAAAAAAATATTAAATATCCTTATTGGCAGTTAGAAGTCGTGGCAGTAGTGGTGGCAAAAGGTTTAACATGGATGGGAACTGGTAAAACCGATGGCTGGCAGGTTTTGATGATCAGCACGGGGTCGATCCCAACGAGGATGATCATTTCTCAAAATTACTAACACCTGAAAAGAACCTAAGGTTTTAATTCTTTCATTTTTTAAAATGGGAAATTTACATATTTAACCCCAAAATTTTCATATCGAGGTAAATTAAACTTAAATCATTAATATCATATCAAAATATTTAAAATCATAATAATGGTGTGATCTGCATGCATAATTTCCTTTAAAAAATGAATTATTTATAAATATAAGAAACAAAATTTATCGATGATATAAATCAAACATTTTTTTGAAGAGCAGACGATAAGACAATTGATCGCAAATGTTAGTCGCTATTTGTTTTAACATTTCCTTCAAACGGGTTCGAGCATCGCTAAATGCTGACCAAAGATTTTCTTATTAATCGTATGTGATTGCATTATCTTTCTATTAAAAGCAGATTGGTATAAAAACATTTTCAAACTTATCGATTAATTCTTTTTTTATATTGCCGTCTCCGCTTAGTGGGACGGTGATTTGTTGTTGTTTACGAAATTATAATTTTAATATATGCGATGAAAACAAATGAATGCTTTAAAAAAACTTGAACAATTAAATTTATAAAAAAATTAATGGTGAATATAAAATTTCTGACCCAAGTAAATGAAAACTTTAAAAATTATTTAAATAATCAAATTTAGAAAAAATGGAATGGTGAATAAAAATTTAAACTTTTAATTATTTGACATGTTTCAGATTTTTAACTAAATAAGTACCCTTTGGACTATTTTAATTTCAATTGACTAAATATTAATCATTATGGCTTGAAACTTTGGGAGTTGATTCCTCATGAAAGTGAGGATGTCTTCTGATTTTTCTAAGGTCAGGGGACACCTCTAGCCCTGAAACCCAAATTCTCAAGTCTTTTGCCCCATTTTTTCTTAAATTAATTATATAAATTAAAATATTAATCGGAAAAATATGAGAATTATTTTGGTAGGTTCCTTATAGTCAAAAGACTTTAGAAAAAAAATATAATGTATTTAAATGATTGTGCATATTTTTCTAGCTAATTAAGTGTTAAAATTTATAAAAAATTAAATAAATATAATATTTTCAAAAGTTCACAAAAATGATTTCACACTGTAAATAATGACCACTTTGACTCACTGTAAAAATTTGAAACTTATTTGAGTTGATTTGATCACTAAAGTCTATTTTTCAAATGAATCGATATTTTTTTCATTAAAATAATTATAATAATTAAAATATAATTAGGAAAATTATGAAATGTGGTGTTGTTCTAAGTTCCTTGTGATCAGGGGAGCATGTATGAAAAATAAATTTTAAAAAAAAATAAATAGGTCATTTTTAAATAGTTTTTAAATTAATATTAATTAAAAATAATTAAAAATTGTAAAAATATGAAAATGTCCAAAAAAAGTTCCTAATTATTCTCTCATCACTTAGGACTCTTTAAAATATCTTTCCTATTTTTTGTAATTTAGTTATATTTTTTTAAATGCTAAAAATGTGTTTTTCTTAATTTTTCATTAAGATAATTTAGATAAATAAAATAAATCCAGCTGCTAACGAGTTTAACTATATCTTAGTTTTATTCCTTAATGAAAAAGAAAAAAAGTCTAAGTTTGGTGGCATCGTTCGACACTCCATGTTGACCTCACTTTTGGTTGAGGTTTAGTTTTTCTTTTTTAGTAGCCTAGGGTCTATCCATAGGACTTTCCTGTTGACTATTCTTAGAGGACTAGAAAGGAACCCTCACCATTATAAATTCTAAACTCTTCTTTGCTCAACTTGAAGTTCCATATACTGATCTAACCTCTAGCACTTAGTAGGTGGGGCCACTGTAAGGGAGCTCAAGGAGAGTTCCCATAGGATTGCTTGGCTTTAGGGTCAACCCTCTGGTGGTGTGGTCTTGATTGCTCTCACTCACACGTATCCACATTACACTTCCACTCACTACCTTAAACCCAAACCTACCTAAATTTGATCCCTTAAGCCTTTGGGAGACTCATGTAGATGGTCCCCTAAACCCACTAGCCTTAGGCTAGGGTTTAGCTAAGACCAGTACATGAAGGACCCAAAGTAGAGGATTCTATTGGTCCATGGCTGAAGTAGGGTGATTGACACCCCAATTTCACCAAAACACTATATTTAGCCTTTTGCCCTAAATCTACCCAATTTACCAAACTACCCTTGAAACTCCAAAATCCCAATTTCACCCAAAATACCCAAATTTGTTCAAAAATCATTTCAAACCACCAAATTGCCCTAAATACCCCCAAAATTGCCAAAATTACCAAAATACCCTTGGTGGCACAAACTTTCCCAAAACCTTCAAAATCATTTCAAATGTCCCCAAAATCAATTTGAACTTCTCAATTGAACCCAGTTTGACCAATTTGACCCATTTTAACCAAAAACACCAAATCGCCTTTAAAGGCCCAATTACCCCAATTTACCCCCAATGTCCACCAATTTGATCCCAATTTTCTCGATTTCAATTCTAAAGTCAAACTCATCATGTACATGCTTGATTTAAGCCAAATCCAAGTCCAATTGACACACATTAAAATCCAATTTCAACCCAAATCAAAAAAACCTCAATTTGACCTAAAATCAAAATCTCACTCAATTAAACATCAAACCTATCCAATTGCCCCAATTTTGCATCTTAAACTCTTCAAAACATTTCTACATATCAAATTGAACCTGAAATTGGCTTTGTTTAAGCCTCATGTTCCCTCAAAATCAACTTAGTCTAAAATCCCCAATTCAGCCATGACTCCAAATGACACCAAATTGAATTTCACTCACATAGTGCCGCAGATATAGCTCTAAGAGGGAATTTGGAGTGATAACTTGGAATTATCTGTCATAACTTGGAATTTCGAGCCATATTTATACGTTGAAAACTGAGCCACATCTAGCACCCAATTAATGTTGAGAACTCTTCATAACATCCTCGTAGACCATTTTGAACCCTCAGTTTGGACTTAGCCCAACTCTATCCTAACCTAAACTCAATTCTAACCCAAATGCCCAAAAATGATCAAATGTCCAAATTCTTTCAAATTGAACGTCCAAATCAATTTAAAATCACTCCAATTTTTTTCTAAGAACTTTGTGAAAATCATCTACACCATCTTGATCAATCAATTGAGTTCAATGCCATGGCTAGTCCAACCCAAACCCAACTTCAAGCCAATTTGACCCAAATTGAACTCATGCACAAAAATTGACCAAGCCATGCCAAATTGATCAAGCCAAGGCTTCTACAGCCAACTTCTGGACCCTAGTGACGAGACTAGATTCACCTAGCCTACCCTACATGGGCTATGGATCAAGGGTCACTAGATTTAGGGGATTTCACCCCAGATTTCACCCCATTTTGAATTTCACCCCATTTTGAGCCTAAACCAAAATATCTTTGCCATCATCACTAACCATTAGTGGTTAACCATCATAAACCCTCTCCTGGCTCCTCTAATTTCTTTGGCCACCACCCTTGGCTCTACCGGATGGCTACTGGCCGGAAAACACCAAAACCAAAAGCCAGCCCCAATTCTAAACTCCAAATTTGAACTCCCTCACTTGGCTCACTCTAATTGGACACTTATGTCACACAACCCTCCACATAAGCAGCTTTTTGCACCCAATAGCTAGCCATGGTGGCCTCTCCTTCCCCTCTATTTAAACCCCCCTTCCATGGCCAAAGGAAGGAGAGAACAAAATTTCTTGTGGAAACTTTGTCAAATTGCTTACAGAGCTCCTCCAAGACTCTCTAAGCTCATTGTGACCATCTTTTGACCATTTCTCCCACGACCTAAGCCTAATATTTTAGCTCAAAATCAGGAAAAATTTTAGTCATCCTCCAAACTCCCCCAAACTCCAAATTGAACTACTCTTGAGCTTCCCAAGAGCAAGAGAGGAAGATTCCCACTGAAATCCCCCTCTATTGAGCTCTTCAAACCACTCCTAGATCAAGGCCGCACCTCATTTCATTGAACTTCTACTTGGAACTTACACCAGAGGAAACCAATACATCCAGGAGGTTCTTTGGACTCCATTGAAGCTTTTACAAGCATCTGATTGAGGTCTCCCCTCTCAGACAAAGGTATAAGCCATTAACCCTAATCTTGAGCTCGATTTTCACCAAATGTGAAGTGAAGTTTAATTTCATAGCATCGTTACCGAGTGGATGTGTTTGTCTTGAGTAGATGATGTAGGAACAAACCCCATGTGATTTGGTTGAGTATCGAGTGAGATCATAGGTCTAGAAGTTTAACAGCTCACGGGTTTGGTTCATAAGGAACGATGACGCAGGACCTCCGATTGCGTGCATATCGGACGGATGAATGAGATCGAGTCGGACGAGGAGATGAACCTTGAACAGTGGGACACATTGCTGCCGAGTTAGATGGCGACGCCGAACCAGAGAGCAATGCGTGGTGCTTTGGAGAGGACGAGGATGATGCAGCGGGTGCTGAATAAATAGAGAAATAGCTTTCTTTTTATTTAAATAAATCTCATATTTTTAAAAAAGCATAACTTTGCATAAA